ACCCTGCCTCAATCCCCGACAGTGTCACCCTGTCACCCCATCCTGTCACCCCCACAGTCCTGATCCTTGTGCAGTGTCACCCTGTCACCCCATCCTGTCACCTGTAACCCTGCCTCAATCCCCAACAGTGTCACCCTGTCACCCCCACGGTCCCGCCCCCTGTGCAGTGTCACCCTGCCACTCCACCCCGTCCCCAGGGCAGTGTCCCCGGCCCGCACCGGTCGATTTTGGGCAGGGTGGTGATCCACACGAGCAGTGGGATCAGGAACGCCGCCGTCTTGCCGCTGCCGGTCTCGGCCACGCCGATGATGTCCCGGTTCTGCAGCCCAATGGGGATGGCCTGGCGCTGGATCGGGGTCGGCTCCTGCCGGGGAGGAGCAGCTTGGGAGCAGAACTTCCCCCGTTCCCCCTCTCCAAATCCCTGACGACCCTTTTTTCCCCCCTCCCCGGCTCCCCCTCTCCGTGCCCACCTTGTATCCGCACTTGTCAATGACCTCCAGGATGTGGGGGGGCAGGGAGGAGTCCTTCCAGGAGCGGATGGGATTGGGGATCTTGCCCCCCTTGGTGGTGATGCTGTAATCCTCGCGGAAGATGCGCCAGTCCCTGTCCGTCATCTCGTCCAGCTTCTTCTGGGACCAGTGCCGGTCATCCCAGCGCTGCTTGGCCTCCTTCTTCCGCAGCTTCCGCAGCCGCGCCCTGCCGGAGGGATGGGGAAGGGATAGTGGGGAAAAGGGGATGTGGGGGGAAAGGGGATGGGGGGGAAAAGGGGAATGGGGGGGGGGAAGGGAATGTGGGGGGAAAAGGGGAATGGGGGGGGAAAGGGGAATGGGGGGGAAAAGGGGAATGAGGGGGGAAAAGGGGAATGGGGGGGGAAAAGGGGATGGGGGGGGAAAAGGGGAATTGGGGGGGAAAGGGGAATGGGGGGGGAAAGGGGAATGGGGGGGGAAAAGGGGAATGGGGGGGGAAAAGGGGGAACAGGGAATGGGGAAAAGGGAAAGCAGGATGGGGAAAAGGGGATAGGTAAAGGGGGATGAGAGAAAAAGGAACGGGGAAAAGGGAAAGAGAAAAGTGTGATGGGGAGAAAGCAATAGGAAACGGGAAATGAGGGAAAAGGGAAAGGGGAAAGTAGGATGCAGAAAGGAAAATGAAAGAAAAGGAAATGGGGGAAAAGGGAGAAGGAAAGGGGATGGGAGAAATGGGGGTGAGGACAGGGAAATGAGGGCAGGGCAAAGAAAGGGATGACAAAAGGGAGTGAGGAAGGTGAGGAAGGGGAAGGAGAAAGCAGATAGGGCTCACTCTGTGCCTCTAGAACCCTTCTGCTGATTTCCTGCAGGACCTGCTGCAGCCCAGCTCCACATCCCAACCAAGCTAAGCCAGCCATGACCCCACACACCCCTCAGCACCCCCTCAGCTTCCCCAAAACCTCACTCCTCCTGCTCCTTTTCCTCCAGCGTCCGCCTCTTCTCCATCAGGTCCCCGTAGAACCGCGACTGCTCCCGTTTCTGCTGCTTCAGGTCGATGCCAGCGATGAAGCCGCGGCCCAGCAGCTGCACCTGGTGCCTCTCCTTGTACCTGGAGCAGGGTGGGAGCATCAGGAGCAGGGCTGGGGGGATGCCTTGCACCCCACAGGGACACCCCCAGCCCTAGGGGCACCCCAGCACTCACAGGGGGTTGTAGTCGATGGACGTGTCCTCCGACGCGTCCCACTCGAACACGAACTTGCGGTCATTGAGGTGCCGCGTGCGCCGGCGCTTCTTCACCCCGCCCAGGTACCGCTCCTGCAGGACCCCAGCCTCAGTGGGACCCTCCATCTCCCCCCCAGCCCCCCCCCGGACCAGCCCCCAGGCCCACCTTGATGGCGTGGAGCTCTTTGCTTTTGTCCTTCTCCTCCCGGATCTTCTGCCTGCCCTCCTCGTCCTCGGTGCCGTTGGTCTCGCGCTCCATGCGCTCGCGGCGCTCCCGGCGCTCGCGCTCCTGGGGGTCTTCTGGGGGGCAGGGGAAGGGGCTCAGAGCCAGCACCCGCCCCAAGGGCTGCCTGGGGTCTCCAGGGATGAGCCCTTACCCAGCATCTTCCTGCCCATCTCCTGGAATTGTTTCCTCTTCTTCCTCTCCTCCTCCAGCAGCCGCTGCCGCTCCTCCACCTCCTGCTGCCGCCGCCGCAGGGCCTCGGCCTCCCGCTCCGCCTTGGACAGGAACTTGGGCTGGCACAGGAGAGAGGCAACGTCACACTGGGCCCTGCCTGCCACCCCCGTGCTGCTGCGGGGTCCCCTCAGCCTTCTCTGCTCCTTCCCGGACCCCCCAGGCCTCTCCTCTCCCTCCTGGGTTCTTTCTCTCCCTCTCTGGATACCCCAGACCTCTCCACTCCCTGCCAGGAGCTCCCTCCCCGTGTCCCCCAGCCCTCCTTTCCCTCCCAGGGCCCTTCTGTGCCCCTCGCCAGACCCCTCAGCCTTCCCAAGGTCCTCCTGCTCCCTCCTGGGGGTCCCTCTCTCCCCTGTCTCCACAGCCCCCCAAGTGCCCTCCCAGCCCTCCCTGCTCCAGCCCATGGCCCCTCCCGGTGTCCCCTGGCACTCCCTGCTTCCTTCTGGGGTCCCTCTGCACCCCCAAGTTTCTCAGCCCTCCCTGTTCCCTCCTGGGGTCCCCCCTGCAGCGTCCCCACAAACACCCACACCCCCAGCAGAGGGAGGAGGCTCCTGTTCCTGCTCCCACCTTGGCTTCTGCCTCCTCTTCTGCCTTCTTCTTTGCCAGCAGCTCCTCCAAGGACAGCGGCTGCGCCTGCAAGAGAGGCCAGATATCAGCACCGCTCCTGGAACCACTCCCCAGGGACCTGGACCCTCCTGGAGCCGCTCCCACACCCTCCTCACCTTCTCCTTCTTCAAGGCATTTTCCTCCTCCTCCTCTGCTTTCCGTGCCTCCCGATCCTTCCGCGACTTGGAGTCCTTCCCCCTGCCCGGGGACAAACTTCCAAGGAAAACAGCACGGAATAAGACACCGAGCCCAGCCCTGAGGGATCTCCAGCCTCCAGGGGGTTTAGGGGAGAGCAGGAACCCCTCACAAAAACCGCCAGGACCCACCTGGAGCGCTTGCGGTCCTTGTCCCGCCGGTGCCCATCCTTGTCCCTGTCCCGCTCCTTCTTGCTGCGGTCCCGGTCCCGCTCCTTGTGCCGCCGATCCCTGTGGGATGGGGGATCAGAGCACGGCCCCACAGCCTCACCCACCCCCGGGGGGCCCTGCAGAGGTTTGGGTTCAGCCATGGGAGATTTGGCTCATTTGGAGATTTCCTGGCCAATGCAGCAGTGAGGGTGGTGGGCTCAGCGCTCCCAGTCCCCAATTCCTGCTGGGAGGCAGGGCTAGGAGGAAGGCAAAGTAAGCTCAAAACTTTAAAAGGGAGCCTCTTTATACCCTTTATAAAATAAATAAATACCGTTATTAAATTTTTCTTTACATCCTCTTGAAAGGGGTATAAAAATTTTATTTCTTTTTTAATTAATAATTTAATTTTTTCAATTAAAATTTTAAATTTTTTTCAATTAAAAGAGCTGCCTCACCTCTCCGTGGACTTGGAGCGGGAGCGGGAGCGTGAGCGGCTCCGCCGCCGCTCCCGGGATCGGTGCCGCTTCCGCTCCTTGGCGGGGGAGCTCTTGCGGTCCCGGTCCCGCTCCCGGTCCCGCTCAGGGGAGCGGGAGCGTTTCCTCTCCTCCTTCACCGGGGATGCATCCCGATCCTTCTTGTCCGCCAGTTCTCCGGCCATCTGCGGGGAGGGGTCAGGGCGGGCTGCACCGGGAGGGCCGGGGGCGGCACCGGGAGGGCCGGGGGCTGCACCGGGAGGGCCGGGGGCTGCACCGGGAGGGCAGGGGGCGGCACCGGGAGGGCCGGGGGCGGCACCGGGAGGGCCGGGGGCTGCACCGGGAGCGATCCAGGGAGGGCCAGGAGGGAGAGGGAAGGGTTGTGAGACCCAGGGGGGGCACAGAGGGACCCCAAGGAGGAGTGGGGAGGGCTGAGAGTCCACCAGGAGGAAATGGGGGGACGGCAAAGGAGCCGGGGAGGGAACAGACAGACGCCAAGAAGCAGCAGCGAGAGTTGGGGGACCCCGGGAGAGAGCAAAAGAGAGAGTGGGGACCCCGGGAGATCTCAAAGGGACCCTCAGGAGGGAGAGGGGAGCTGAGGACAGTGCAAAGGGACCTGCAGGAGGGAAAAGGATCCCGGGGAGAGAGCAAAGGGACCCTCAGGTGGGAGAGGGAACCCGGGGACAGCCCAAAGGGACCCTGAGGATGGAGGGGGGACGCCGGGGGCACCCCCAAGAGGGCACAGAGGGACCCCAGCAAGGAGCGGGAAGGGCTGGGGGCACCGAGGAGAGAACGTAGAGGGAAGGGAGGAAGGACCCCGAGAGGGCAGAGGGAGCCCCGGGGGGTGGATGCGGAGAGCCCCGGGGAACCCCGGAAAGGCTCCGGCAGGCCCGGGGGACGCGGCGCAACGGCGCTCCAGGCCCTGCCGCCGGTACCCAGTAGCGGGGCTCCGCCCGGTGCCGCGGCAGCAGGGCTCTCCAGCCCCTGGGCCCCCAGGAGGTTCCTGCAATGCCCCTCGCTCGCTCCCGCCGGTCCCCGCTCACCGCCGCGGCCCCGGGATCAGCGCCGCCGCTCCGCCGCCATGTCTGCCGGGCCCACAGGGCACGCCGGGACGGCGCGGGACTACAGCTCCCGGCAGCCCTCGCGCATTTGGACTACAGCTCCCGGCAGCCCTCGCGCCCTTGGACTACAGCTCCCGGCAGCCCCCGCGCCTTTGGACTACAGCTCCCGGCAGCCCCCGCGCGCCCTCAGCGCCCCTGCGCGGTCGCAGCACCGCCGCGCCCCGTGATCCTTCCGCCGCGCGGCGCTCCCCCCTCCCCACCGCAAAGAGTCCCCCCCGGGACGCTGTCCCCGTGTCCCCGCGGCCCAGAGCACCCCAAAGCCACCCCAACCAGAGATTCTGCACCAGCACCCAGGGGTGACAGCGCAGCCCCACGTCGGTGTCACCATCGCCAGTGACACCAACACATCCCCAAACTCCCACCAGCCTCCAAAAAGCAGGATCCCTCCCCAAAGCACAGGGCCAGGCAGGGCTGCACATAGGTAGGTGTTATATTTCTGATAATAAATAAGCTTTTTAATAACACTGACATGGAACAGAGACACCCCCCCCCCCCAAGACAGTCCATAAAACAGCTCCCCTCCCCCTCCCCAACCCACAGGGTCCCCCAGGGCCAAGCAGCAGATGAGGGGTGGGGGAAAGGGGGAGAGAACAGGATGAGTCCATGGATGAGTCCCATGATGTGCACCCCAAACCCCACAGGGATCCCCAGGACAGGGTCCCTGTGTCCCCCAAACCCCACAGTGACCATCCCAGGTTGATGTCCCTGAGGGTCTGGGCACCCCAACACCCCACAGGGACCCCTTGGGGTTGATGTGTCTGGGGTCCTGTGCACCCCAAACCCCCCAGATACCCCTTGGGATTGATGTCCTTGAGGGTCTGGACACCCCAAACCTCCCAGGGTTGATGTCCCCGGGGTCCTGTGCACCCCAAACCCCACAGGGACCCCTCGGGGTTGATGTCCCTGAGGGTCTGGGCAACCCAAACCCCACAAGGACCCCTCGGGGTTGATGTCTCTGGGGTCCTGTGCACCCCAAACCCCACAGGGTTGATGTCCCCGGGGTCCTGTGTGCCCCAAATCCCCCAGGGACCCCTATGGGTTGATGTCTCTGGGGTCCTGTGCACCCCAAACCCCCCAGGAACCCCTATGGGTTGATGTCCCTGGGGTCCTGTGTGCCCCAAATCCCCCAGGGACCCCCTCAGGGTTGGGGACACCCCCAGACCCCCTTCCCCAGGCTGTGGGGCTGGCAGGGCGATGGTGCCAGGGAAGGGCAGCACCCCCCACCCTCCTTTTGAGGGGGGGGAGCTGCAGACTCCAGAGCCCCATCCAGCCCCCCCACCCCACTCGGGGGGCTTTGAGGGGGGGTCCCAAAGGTGAGTGCGTGCGTGTTTGTGTGTGTGGGGTCATTCCCTTGGCCCCCTCACATGACGGAGCAGCTTTTTGCTTTTTCCTTCTTGAAGGTGGAGGAGATGAGCTCGGAGCGGCTGGGGAGGTGCAGGAGTCTCTTGGAGAGGCTGCGGGGGGGGCTGCGGGGCGGCTGGGGGGGGGCTCTGCTCAGGCACAGGCCGGACACGGTCCGGAAGATGCTGTGAACGCTTTTCTCCGAGGTGAAGGCCGAACACTCCAGGTAACCCTCGGCTCCCAACTGCCGGGCGGCCGCGCAGCCCTGCAGGAGCCCGGTGCAGGAGGGGACAGGGCAGGGTGAGCCCCACAGCCCGAGGGACAGCCCTAAAACCCACTGGGACAGCCCCACAGCCAGAGGGACAGCCCCAAATACACCCCACAGACAGAGGGACAGCCCCAAATCCACCCCACAGCCAGAGGGACAGCCCCAAATCCACCCCACAGCCAGAGGGACAGCCCCAAATACACCCCACAGACAGAGGGACAGCCCCAAATCCACCCCACAGCCAGAGGGACAGCCCCAAATCCACCCCACAGACAGCGGGACAGCCCCAAATACACCCCACAGCCAGAGGGACAGCCCCAAACCCACCCCACAGGCAGAGGGACAGCCCCAAATACACCCCACAGACAGTGGAACAGCCCCAAAAACCCACCCTGACAACCCCACAGGCAGAGGGACAGCCCCAAATACACCCCACAGACAGTGGAACAGCCCCAAAAACCCACCCTGACAGCCCCACAGCCAGAGGGACAGCCCTAAAACCCACTGGGACAGCCCCACAGCCAGAGGGACAGCCCCAGATACACCCCACAGACAGTGGGACAGCCCCAAATACACCCCACAGACAGAGGGACAGCCCTAAAACCCACTGGGACAGCCCCACAGCCAGAGGGACAGCCCCAAATACACCCCACAGACAGAGGGACAGCCCCTAAACCCACCAGGACAGCCCTAAAACCCACCGGGACAGCTCCAAACTGAGCCCCAAACCACTGGGACAGCCCCACAGCCAGAGGGACAGCCCCACAGCCACCCCACAGCCAGTGGGACAGCCCCAAAAACCCACCCTGACAGCCCCACAGCCAGAGGGACAGAGCCCCAGACCCACTGGGACAGCCCCAAATACACCCCACAGACAGCGGGACACCCCCAAACCCATCCCACAAACACTGGGACACCCCAAACTGAGCCCCACAAACACCAGGACCCCCTCCAAACCCATCCCACAAAAACTGGGACACCCCAAACCCATCCCATAAACACCAGGATACCCCAAACTGAGCCCCAAAACACCAGGACACCCCCAAAGCCAGGCAGACCTGCTCGTAGGAGATGGGCGCCTGTTTCTGGTGCGAGAGCTCCAGCAGCGTGCTCAGGTCTGTCCTCAGGTCCGTCTTGCAGCCGATGAGCAGCACCCGGGTGTTGGGGCAATAATCCAGGATTTCGCTCTTCCACTGAGGGGTCGGGGCACACAGCTGCTCTCAGGGCACCCCAAAAGCCTCTCCCTGTCACCCCATAGGGGTGGGGTCTCGGTGTGCCAGCCCAGACCCCATAGAGGTACCGCCAAAGACAGTGTCCTCACATCCCTGAGCCCCCCAAACCCCACAGGGATCCCCCCAGGCTGGTGTCCCCACATCTCTGAGCCCCCCCCAAACCCCACAGGGATCCCCCAGGCTGGTGTCCTCACATCTCTGAGCCCCCAAACCCCACAGGGATCCCCCAGGACAGTGTCCCCACATCTCTGAGCCCCCCAAGCCCCACGGGGACGCTGTCCTGGGGTCTGAGCCCCCTCCCCACCTTCTTGGCCGCGCTGTCGAGGGTCTCGGGGCGGCTGACGTCGAAGCAGAGCAGGACAGCGTCCGAGTCGCTGTAGCACAGGGGCCGCACGTTGTCATAGTAGGGAGAGCCTGGGGGAAAAGGGGGGGTCACCGCTCAGCCCCCCACCCCAGGGACACGGGAAAGGGGGTCTGGCTAAGGGACACAGCCCCCCAAATGGGACACAGCCCCCCAAACTGCCCGGGGTGAGGGCACGGCTCTAGAGTCCCCCAAAAGGGACAGAGGGACACAGCTCTAGAGCCCCCCAAAAGGGACAAACAGCTCTAGAGCCCCTCAAAAGGGACAGAGCCCCCCAAAAGGGACAGAGCCCCCCATCCTGCCTGGGGTGGGGACACAGGTCTCAAGACCCCAAAATAGACACAGCCCCACTCCTGTCCAGGGTGAGGGAACAGCTCTAGAGCCCCCAAAAGGGACACAGCTCCCTGTCCTGCTTGGGGTGGGGACACAGTTCTAGAGAACCCCCCCAAAAGGGACACAACCCCACTCCTGCCCGGCATGGGGACACAGCTCTAGGGACCCCAAAAGGGACAGAGGGACACACAGCTCTAGAGCCCCCCAAAAGGCACAGAGCCCCCCAAAACAGACACAGCTCCCCAAAAGGGACAGAGGGACACACAGCTCTAGAACCCCCCAAAACAAACACAGCTCCCCAAAAGGGACAGAGGGACACACAGCTCTAGAACCCCCCAAAAGGCACAGAGCCCCCCAAAACAGACACCCCAAAAGGGACAGAGGGACACACAGCTCTAGAGCCCCCCAAAAGGCACAGGGCCCCCCAAAACAGACACAGCTCCCCAAAAGGGACAGAGGGACACACAGCTCTAGAGCCCCCCAAAAGGCACAGAGCCCCCCAAAACAGACACAGCTCCCCTCCTGTTCAGGGTGACGGCTCACAGCTCTAGAGAACCCCAAGAAGGACATAGGGACACAGCTTTAGAGCCCCCCAAAAGGGACACAGCCCCCCAGGGGCCGGGGAGAGGGGCACAGCTCTGGAAGCCCCCCAAAACGCCACCTCCGTCCCCGCAGCCCATCAACGTCGCATCGCGCTTTGGCGAGGCAGCGGGAAATGGAGCCCGCGGTGTTTATGTAACATCCCCCCCGCCCCCCGTTTTGGGGAGCCCCGGCAGCACCGGGGGGTGTCGGGGTGAGGGGGGAAGCCGGAGGAGGGGGTGGGACACGCTGCCACCCCCTCGGGGTCCTCGGGGACACGGAGCCACCAGCGCCGCACCGGGACTGCGGGGGTCCCGGCGCGGGGGAAAGGGGGTGCGGGAGGGGGTCAGTGGGGTGGGGGGCTCCGGGATGTCCCTCCCGTCCGTCCCCCCCGGCCCCCCAAAGGCCTCGGAGGGGTTTCGCAGCCCAGACACTCCGTGCACGGAATAGCAAAGAGGCTGCGCCAGCGCATCGCCATGACAACCGGGGACCAGCGGGGACCCCCCCCCACCGCCCGGGGGGGACACTGCAGCACCGGGCAGGGCTACCCCGACCCCCCCCAACTCTTTGGGGTGCCCCGGGAAGGGCAACACCGGGATATCCCCTAATCCGCCCAATTCACACCGCGGGGAGGGGGGCTCAGCGGTGCGGGGACCCCACAAGGAGGGGGCTCAGCCTCCTGTGAGGGTGTCGGGACCACCGTGGGGTCGGTCCCTGGGGAGAAGCTGCGCTCCCCACCCCCACGGATGTGACCTGCACCTGAACCCAGCCCAGCGGGACCACAAAACAGCCCCAAAACAGCGCCGAGACCCCGTCACGGCCACCAGCGCCCCTCCCCGCCGCGCTGCGGGTCCCCAAAACACCCTCGGGACACCAAAACACCCCACTGCAGCGACCCCCCGCTCACCGCAGCATCCCAACCACGACCCCCCAAAAACCCCAAACCACCTTCCCCAGCAAACAGCCCGATCCGGGGTCGGGCAGCCCCCGCCCCACTTCTCCGGTAGCGGAGCCCCCGCCAGCCCCTCAAACGTGCACCGTGCGGTACCGGAGGTGTCCCAGAGGCTCAGTTCCACCCGCTGCTCCTCGCTGGCCAGACACGCCGTGTAGTTCTCAAACACGGTGGGCACGTACGTCTGCAACGGGGCACCGAGAGCGTCAGCGCCCGGTCCCGCTTGCCGGTGCCCGCTGCCGGTTCCCGGTGCCGGTCTGGGCTCACCTCGGGGTAACAATCCTTGGCCAGCACCTGCAGCATGGCCGTCTTGCCGCACTGCACGTCACCCACCAGCACCAGCTTGCACCGGGCCGGAGCGGCGGGCGCCGGCCTCCGCTCCCGCATGGCGGCGGCGCGCACGGACCCCCCCGCTCGCACCCACCCACCGCCCTGCGCCCCGCCGCCGCAGCGCCCTTATATACCCCGCCGGCTGCAGCGCCCGCCCACGGCGGCGCCCGCTCGCCAATCAGCGCGGGGAATCCCGGAGCTCCGGCCAATAGCCGCGAGGCAGAGCCGGCGGGACACGTACGGGGTGCGAGCGCGTTATTGGCCGCCAGGGGGCGCAGGCGCGGGTCAGGGCGGAAGTGCGGCGAGGCCCCGCCCCCCCCCGCCGCCGTTGCCGGGAGACCGGAGGGACGCCACCGGCACCGGGACCGGCACCGGGACCGGACCGGGACCCAGAGCGGGGAGGGACACCCCAGAGGCGGAGGTGGGGCTGGGCAAAGGGCAGTGGGCGCTGGGAGAGCGTGGGAGGGAGGGGGGTGAGCTGGGAGGGCTCTGGAGATGGGCAGCGGGAATGGGCCTTGGGGGGGTCCTGGGGAGGGAGGTGGAAACAGGGCTGGGGGGTCCCTCTGGAAGGGGAGAGGGGATGAGCAGGGCTTGAGGGGGTCTGAGGGTACTCCTAAGTGGAGGGGCAAAGAAAGGGGCCTGGGGGAGCATGGGGTGGGCAGAAGGTTATGGGGTGTGGGGTACCCCATAGTGCGGGGGATGGAGGGGAGGGGGTCTGCGCAGGGGGAACAGGCCTTGGAGGCAGACCCCGGGCATCCCCCAACCCCTCCTGCCGTGTCCCCTTCTCCAGCCATGGCGGGGCTCCGTCCCACTGCCCCCACGGCGGCCCAGGACAAGCTGCTGCTGCTGCAGAGACAAGCGCTGGCTGAGGAGGAGGCGGCCAAAGCCAAGCGGGAACTGCTCACTCGCTTCCTGCAGGTCCGGGAGCCCGCTGCAGCCACCCCCGATCTCCTCCAAACTCCACCTCTCTGAGCCCCCAAACCGCTTTTCCCCAGCAAACGCCCCCATCATCCCCACCAGGGCTGGGGCTGCCCCTGTTCTGCTGCACCCCCTGGTACCAGAGGCAGCCCCAAGCCCACTCCTGCCCCTTTCCCACTTCCCACGGTCCCTCCACAGGAGAAGCTGTCCCGGGAGGAGCAGAGCAGCAGGTGGGGTCTCCACAAGGTCTGCACGCTCTGGCGCTCGGCCCAGCGCAGGACCAAGGACCAGGAGCTGCGCCAGGACATCGAGATCCTCAGCCAGACCTTCACACGGGTCATGGACTGCAAGGACAGCGCCATTGAGGTGGCTGTGGGGGCTGGCAGGGCATGGAGGGTGCCAGGGGACACACATGACCCCCACCCCCCTCAAAAAACTCCCCAGGCGCTGGTCACGGAGCTGGAGGAAGCAGAGGAGCAGCAGAACCGAGCCCTGCGCAGCCACCTGCACCTCACAGACCAACTGCTGCACCTCCAGCGCTGCCGCCTGGGCGACCTGGAACAGGGGTTCAGTGCCCAGGTGGGCGCCCTGAAGGCCGAGTTTGAGGCTGAGAGGTGTGGAATTTCAGAGGGAGAAGGGGAACGGGGCAGCAGGGGCACCCATGGGCTCTCCTGGGACAGAGCTGAGCCTCCCCTGGCCCCACAGGGACGCCACAGCGTCTCTGTCAGGGAGAAACCCCTTTGCCCTGCCTTGTGTGCCCACAGAAAAGCCATGCTGGAGCAGCAGGACTGGGAAAGCTGCTGCCTGCAGGACATGGCGCTGGCCATGGAGCAGGATCACGCCAGGAACGAGCACGAGGCCTTGCTGAACTTCCAGAGCGCCCGGGACGACATCAAAAACAAGGCAAGGGGGCACAGGGGAGCACTGAGGGGCTCTCGGGGCTGGCAGGGGAGGTTTGGGGGTGTCACCTGTGTGTCCCCAGTGCTGGCAGGATCAGCAGTACAGCCGGCTGCAGCTGGTGGCCAGGCTGGAGGGGCTGTGGGACCAGATCCAGGCAGCCCGGAGGAGCTACGCCCAGGCCACGGAGAAGAAGAAGGTGGAGTTTGAGGAGCTGAAGAGGAAGTGTGAGAAGACTTCCTGCGAGATTGATGCACAGGCGAAGAAGCTGCAGAAGCTCCAGGTTTTGGCAGGGTCCTGGGTGGCTGTGGGAGTGGGGGTCACTTGCAATCCCCACTAATTTTCCATGGAATTGTTGAGGTTGGAGAAGCCTCTGAGGCCCATCGAGTCCAAGCCAGCACTGGCAAGGAGGTGACAACAAGCCAGGCTAAGCAAGGGCCCCCCAAGAGTTTGTGGAGCAGTGCCTGAGCCATAGAATCATGGAATTATTGAGGCTGGAAAAGTCTCTAAGACCATCAAGTCCAATTGTTCTCTCAGCGCTGCTGGGGCCACCACTAAGCCACGTCCCCAGGGGCCACATCCACCTGGTTTTTGAGCACTTCCAGGGACGGTGCCTCCATCACTGCCCTGAACAGCCCATTCCAAAGCTGGGCCACCCTTTCCAAGAAGGAATTTTCCCCAGTGGCCATCCTGCTGTTCCACCAGGACATGGTTACGAGCACGAGGGGCCAGATCGCGGCTCAGCTGCAGGAGAGCGAGGAGCAAACCCAGCGCATCCGGGACGAGAGGGAACTCGCCCTCCAGAAGCTCCAGAAGCTCCGGGCTCAGCTCAGCCAGGCCGGGGCCACGGCTCACACCCACCTGGTGACGCTCACCTGCCAGTGCAGTGCCACCCTCAAGGTGCTGCGGCAGGTGGTGGAGAAGGTGAGTCGGGCAGCGCTGGGTGGGGATGTCCCTGTGCCCTGGGTCCTGCTGTCCCTTCCTGCCCTTCCCGGCGTCCCCCCCAGGCCCAGCGCGTCCTGCGCCTGGCTGAGATGTGCCGAAAGCTGGAGACACAGGAGGAGAAGGTGCTGCCCTTCTACCCCTCCTCCCTGGCCGAGTGGGAGCAGCAAAAAGCCCTCAGGGTCCTGGAGGAGACCGCCGGCGAGCCCCTGGCACAGGTGAGGAGGCACCGCCGCAGTGCTCAGGGCAGCAGGGCTGTGCTCCAGCCCTGGGGATCCCCCAGCTGGTGCTTGGGCAGGCTGGAGACCCCAAAATCTCCCCGCTGCCTCCCCCCAGGCCTTGCAGGACTATGTGGGGCTGGAGCGGTTCTGGCAGCGGTTCAACAAGGCGAAGCTGGAGGAGAAGGGGCTGGAGCGGGCACGGGCAGCCCTGGCAGACAGGAACCAGGAGCTGCGGGGGCTGCTCCAGCAGTACCTGGCGGGGGCTACGATCAACCAGAAGGTGCCCAAAGACCTCCACCCCCTCCTCACCACCAAGCAAAATTTGCATCCCCAGAAATGAGCCCCACATCGTGGGGGAGCCACGCTCGGGGACACAAGGTGTGGTGCACCCCAAGAGCCTCTGGGGAGGGGTCAACCACCAGGACCCCATTTCTGGCTCCACCAGCTCCAAGCTGAGGCTCCCTGGCAGTCTCCCTGGTGTTTGGGGGCTCAGGGATTGTCACTGCCTGGATATGCCTTAAAAGAGCAAAACTGCCTGAAAATGTGCTCCAGGGTCTTATTTCTGAGATTCATTGAGTCTGTCACCTCCCACTCAGGTCTGACACGACCCACCAGGGCCCTGGAGCAGGCAGGGAGCTGAGGGGTGCACAGCCCCTTCCCACTGCTCTGTGCCCACCACTGTCTCAGGAAGAGCAGCCACGGAGCAGCCGCAGATGCCGAGGGGAAGGTTTTATTTCTTTTTGGCTTTGTTCCTCTTCTCCTCCTTCTGCTTTTTCTTGGAGAGCTTGGGGCTGCTGGCCTTGCGGTATAGGTGGAACCCGATGAGCCCCAGCAGTGCTGGCACCAGCCCCAGGCACAGCAGTGGCACCACCTCGTTCACCACCTTCTGCCAGTAACTGGCCCGGGACAACCCCACCAGCTCCACCTCGAAGCGCAGCACCGCGTCACCTGCGAGGGGGGCACAGCCTGAGCGGGGACCCCACAGAGACCCCACGGGGACCCTGAGGGCTGTGCTCACCTGGGATGGTGGGGGGGGAGCCCCGCTTGCCGTAGGCTAAGTGAGGGGGAATGATGGCTCTGCGCTTCTCCCTGCCACAGTGAGAGTGTTGGTGCCACCAATTCTGGTGGGGACACTGGTGGGGACACTGCCCACCTGTGTGTCCCCCATCTGCACTTACCCCACACACATGTCCAGCAGACTCTGCTCCAGACCTGTAAGAGAGTGGGGCGAGGGTGAGTGGGGCTAGTCGGGGTTACCCCCAACCCCACTTCCCCTGAGCCCCTCACCCACCAGGAATGACTTGGTGCTTGCCCAGCTCCACCTGGAGGGGGTCCCGGCTCAGCGAGGAGTCGATGATCCGGCCGTCCTCCAGCGTGCCCTGTGGGGGGCACGGTCACAGTCACTGCCATGGTCACCCCTGGGGACACAGCCCTGGCACTTTCTCTGTGTGGCTGCCAGCATGTTCCCAGTGCTGCTCTGGTGCTGATCCCAGTCCCTGCAGCTCCCCTGTGCCATCCCTGTGCTGATCCCAGTCCCTGTGCCATCCCTGTGCTGATCCCAGTCCTGTGCCCCCTCCTGTGCCATCCCTGTGCTGATCCCAGTCCTTGTGCCCCCTCCTGTGCCATCCCTGTGCTGATCCCAGTCCTGTGCCCCCTCCTGTGCCATCCCTGTGCTGATCCCAGTCCTGTGCCCCCTCCTGTGCCATCCCTGTGCTGATCCCAGTCCCGGTACACTCCGTGTCACTCTGGGACATCCTCCCCGCTCCCAGTGCCAGGGCCATGCCAAGGTAATCCTCTGGCTAATCCCAGTGCCAGCCATGCCCACACCGGGGTTATGCCACGCCAGCCCCAGTGTCTCCCTGTGCCACTCCAGGTGCCACCCAGAGCCCATCCTGGGGCTGTCCCCATGCCAGTCTCAGTGGCACCGTGGCACCCTCCCCTTGTCCAGCCCAGTGCCGTCCTCATGCCCACCCCGGTACCACCCCCACGCTCACTCCGGTTCCACCACGGTACCGCCCCATGCCCACCCCGGTACAACCCCCGGTACCGCCCCGGTGCCGGCCGAGGCTGCCCCGCCGGTGCCGGTGCCGGTGCCGGTGCCCCCGCCCCGCCCGCCGGAGCGCAGTGCTGACGTGTTCCTCCCGCCGCCCGCCCGCACCGTGTAGTGGATGTGCACCGTGTCCCCCGGCGCCGACAGCTCCGTGCAGCCCTCGGGGGGGGGCACCTGCAACGGGGAGCTCACGGGGAACCGGGACGGGGCCCCCTCCCCTCGGGGTCCGCGCAGCCCCCGCGCCCACCGGGCCCCCGGAGCGCTCCGAGAGCCGAACTCCCGCCCGGCCGCCCCGTCCTCCGCCACAGCCCGGTCCTCCCGCTGCCCTCCCATCGCAGCCCGGTCCTCCCGGTGCCCCGTGGCTCCCCACCGCCGCAGCCCGGGCCTCCCGGTGCCTCCCGCCCCGTGCCCGGGCCGAGCTCCCCGGTGCCCCCCGGGCGGCACCATCCCGCCGGTGCCCCGTGTCCCGCCGGTCCCGCCGTTCCCCGCCGGTCCCGCCCCGGTCTCAGCTGCCTGCCTAAGGGGCCCGCGTGGGTCCCCGGTGCCTCCCGCGCAGCCCCGGTTGCCCCGTCTCCCCCGGGCTCACGATCGTTTCCAGCCGTAGCTCCCGGGCGCCGGTTTCGGTTTCGCTCTCGGCAGCGCGGCAGAGCGGCGGCGGCGGCAGCAGCAGTGCCACGAACAGCAGCGCGGCGGGGAACGGCATGGCCGAGCTGGCGGCGGAGGAACGGGCACCGGCACCGGGACCGCCCCTCAGCCTCGGGCCCCGCCCCCGGGACCGCCCCCGCACCGAGACCGGCCCCGGGACGGGCACCCGCGCCTGCTCCGGGCCCCGGCGGAGCTGCGGGACGGAAGGATGCTGAGGACCGGCCGCTGCCTCGGTGCCCGGTGCTCCGTAGGGACCCCGGCGGGCACCCGGGCTCGGCCCTGCCCGGGGACCGTCCCGGCGGGGGCTCCGGGTGAGGGTCAGAGCGGAGGGTCCGGGCGGGGGTCTGGGCCGGGAACGCGTCCCAGGCACCGGTTGGGTGCAGCCCCCGGTGTCCTGCCGGTGCCAGCAGGCGGCAGCACAGCCCGGGGAAACCGGCAGCCACCGGAGCCCGGGAGCCCTCCCGGGTCCAGAACCCGCCACGGGTGCGGGTCATTCCTTCTCCCGCCACTCCCGCAGCTCTTCCAGCCCCGGCGGTGCAAGACAAGGGAAGCCGAGCCCCGAGCCCGGGCTGGGGGCCCGGTGGAGCCCGGTGGAGCCCGGTGGGACGGAGCCTGGCCCGGAATCCCCGTCCGTGTGCCTGGAGACACCCAACCCCCAGGGCAGAGCTGGCAACGCAGGGAATCCCCCCGGTGCGGCGGGGTCCCACGGTGGGCAGCCGGGATCTCCGGCCCCGTGTCCGCCGGGATGGCCTCCTTGGTGTCACCGGCCCCGGTGCAGCTCCCGGACGACGGCATCGGCACGCCGGCCCCACCGGCGCACCCACATACCAGCCTCGGTTGCCGAGAGGTGGGGAAGCCGGGCTGGCGGCCGGACCCGGGGCGCTAATGGGATTAGGGGCGCCGGGTCAGCCCCCGCCATACAAAGCCGTCGGTCCAGCCGGTGGGAACGCGTCGGTGCCGGCTCCGCTGCTCCCACCCACCGGGGAGCCCCGGTCATCCACGCTGAGCCCCCCCGAGGGAGCTCCCAGAGCCCCGGTAATCCCCACTGCAGCTCCCCGGTATCATCCCCATGTCCCCCAACCCACTGGGGTGCCCTGGTCACCTGCACTGGAGCTCCCCCAGGTCATCCCCATGTCCCCCAACCCACTGGGTTGCCCTGGTCTCCTGCACTGGAGCTCCCCCAGGTCATCCCCATGTCCCCCAACCCACTGGGGTGCCCTGGTCACCTGCACTGGAGCTCCCCCCATGTCACCCCCATGTCCCCCAACCCATTGGGGTGCCCTGGTCACCTGCACTGGAACTCCCCCAGGTCATCCCCATGTCCCCCAACCCACTGGGGTGCCCCGGTCACCTGCACTGGGGCTCCCCCATGTCATCAATATGTCCCCCAACCCACTGGGGTGCCCCGGTCACCTGCACTGGAGCTCCCCCATGTCATGTCCACAGCCCCCAACCCACTGGGGTTCCCTGGTCACCTGCACTGGAGCTCCCCCATGTCCCCCAACCCACTGGGGTGCCCTGGTCACCTCATTCTGAGCCCTGGTGCTGGCTCTGGTCACCCCAGTTTGGAGTGCTGGGCCCTGGTCCCCCCCGTTCTAGGCCCTGGTGCTGGTTCTGCAGCTCCCAGCCGCCAGCACAGCCCCCAACAGCCCCCCCAGCCACCAGTCCAGCGGGGACACGGGGATGGCACGGCCGTGCTGGCCCCAAATGCAACTCAGGCCCCCTTAACCCATGCAGGGGGGTGACATAGGGCAGGGGTGGGGGGGCCAAGTCCCACTCGCGCCCATCCCGGCACTGGCACCGTCCCCACGCCCCAGCTGGGATTAGCGCTAATGGGATTTACCATTTCATCCAATATTCCCCTAAAGATGAGCCTGGGAAGGGGGGGGGGGGCCCTCACCCCCTGCCAGCCCCACCTCACACCCCCCGCCCCGTTAAGCTCTTTCTAATTAAAGCCAGCCCAGGGCTGTCCATCACCGTCCCCTCCGCGGGACCCCCACGCTGGGGGGGCTGCGGAAGAAGAGACGAGGGGCAGAGCTACATAAAACATGTTTAATATCCAAGGGGGGGGTCAGGGGAGGTCACCCACCGTCTCAGGCGCTGGGGGCTGGGGGGGGGCTGAGAACACACGTCCCTGGACAGGGCAGAGCCGCAGCGACACGTCACACCAAGCACAGACCAGGGGTATAAATACGGTGCTGGGGATGGGGGGGCACAGTACGGGGTGGGGGGGACACTGTCCGTCCGTGAGGGGCAGGGACATACAATCACTATGCTGGCATGGGGGGAGGAGGGGGGCAGGCGGCCAGGGCGAGGAGGGGGGCATGGCCAGGGGGGCCGCAGAGGTCCTGGCAGCCCCGTGCCCCCCACCCCTGCGGGGGTCGCGCTGCGGGAAGGAGACCTGCCTCGAAGTGACATGGGGGGGCTGGGGACGTGTGGGATGCCCAGGGGGGGGCACGTGGGGCCGGGAGGGGGTGCTGGGAGGGAAGGGGAGGTGTATAGTCCCAAATCCCCCCCCGTGGCCCTGCTGCCCCCACATTTGGTCCAGAGGAAGGCGAGGGGTGCAGGGACATGCATGGGGACAGGGTGTCCCCGGCCCCCCCAGGCAGGGCAGTGCTGAGGTGGCCCCCCCAGCCCCTATCCCACCCTCCCGGGGCTCTGCCCCTGCCCCCCTGGGCGTTATATAGAGCTCTAATTCCACGCACGCACACACGAGATCCGAGGGGAACCAGGGGGACCCCAAAGAAGGCGAAAAACCCCACAGCAACCGGTGCCAGAAGAAAGCAAAAACCCAACCGGGGCAGGGAGGGGGCGGCCGGGGGGGGCCCTGGCACGGCCCAGGGGGGGCCGAGGGGGCACAGGGCGACCTCCCCTCACTTCTTGTTCTTGAGCTGGTTGGCGAGCCAGTCGAGGCCCTCGTAGAGCCCATCCCCGCTGGTGGCACAGGTGGCCTGGATGTACCAGTTACGGTGGCGCAGGGAGTGCAGCCCCAGCTTGTCCGTGATCTCCGCTGCGTTCATGGCATTGGGCAGGTCCTGGAGCAGACAAGGGAGGTCACACAGGGGCTCCATGCTGCAGGAATGGATATGACCCCTCCACGGGGGCTGGCAGCAGCCCTGATGGCACGGGGGTGGGCGCAACTCTGCCACAGGGGACATCGTCAGCCCTGATGCTACAGGAAGGAATGGGAATCTGCCGTGGGGATGTGAGACACCAGCCCTGACACCACAGGGATGGCCAGAGCCGTGTTAAAGACCAGCCCTGGTGCCACGGGGATGGCCCCAGGGGACACCACCAGCCCTGGTGCCACAGGGATGGACGTGGCTCTGTCACACAGCCTCTGACAGGAGCCCTGATGCCTAGAGAAGTCCTACACCAGATAGCTGCCCTGATACCCTGGGGATGTCTCAGTCCCACCACAGGGCTCTCCCCGCCCCCAGACCCACCTGTTTGTTGGCGAAGACGAGGAGGACGGCGTCCCTCAGCTCATCCTCCGCCAGCATCCGCATCAGCTCCTCCCGCGCCTCGTTCACCCGCTCCCGGTCGTTGCTGTCCACCACGAAGATCAGCCCTGGTGAGAGGAGCGGGCAGTGACGGGGTTCCTGTGGCCACCCCGCTCCCCGAGTCCCCCCACGCTGTCCCCTGAGACACCTACCCTGGGTGTTTTGGAAGTAATGCCTCCAGAGGGGCCGGATCTTGTCCTGCCCACCCACATCCCACACGGTGAAGCTGATGTTCTTGTACTCCACCGTCTCCACGTTGAACCCTGCGGGAAGCGACAGTGGAGGGAAACTGAGGCACGGGGAGCCACCAGCTCCTTCGAAGGAGCCCAGATGGGGAGCGGTCTCTGCTCAGTGCCCCCCAACCTCACCCACCGATGGTGGGGATGGTGGTGACGATCTCCCCCAGTTTGAGCTTGTAGAGGATGGTGGTCTTCCCAGCAGCGTCCAGCCCCACCATCAGGATCCGCATCTCCTTCTTCCCAATCAGGCTCTTCAGCAGGTTCCCGAAGATGTTGCCCATGGTGACGGCGGCGCTGGCTCCGAGGCCGGATCCTGCGGGGGCATGGGGCAGGCTGGGGGAGGCCCTGAAATCTGCAGGGGTGGAGCTGAGGGGTCCCCCGTGCTAGCGGGGGGCTGCAGGAATCGGGGATCCGCATGTCTTGGGGGGATGCGGGGCTTGGGGGACCCCAGGCAAGGGGCTGGGGAGGGGGCCGCGCACTGCACGGGGGTGTCTCTGTGTGCAGCTCGATATGGGGGGGCTGCAAAGATGGGGATGCTAAGCCGTGCCCCGCTGCACCCTGCAAAAGGACAGCCCAGGGCGCTGCACTGGGGGAAACTGAGGCAGGGCCGTCGCCCTCCTCGAGAGGAGCAGAGCCCCCCGGAGCCGACCCCTCCTCTGCACCCCCACCTCCGCACCATGCCCCCATCACCGCAGCCCCTCCGGAGGGGGAGGCCCCCATCGCCCCCCGCCGCCGCAGCGCGCCCCTTCCCCGCCAGCGTGTGCACCCCCCGCGCCCCCGGGACCCCCGAATCCGCCGCTCCCCCCTTCACCACCCCCCATGGCAGCGCGCCCCCAAACCACCGCCTCTCCGCCCCGCACTGCGCATTGCCCCCCGCCCCCGCCCGCTGCACCGCACCGCACCGCATCCCCCCCCCCGCCCCCGGTACGACCCCGGTACGGGGGGCTCCGCGCCCCCGCCGCACCGGGCACCCCGGCACGCGCTGCCCCCCCCCCCCCTCCCCGGTGCCGACCCCCCCTCCCCCCGCGTACCCCCGCACACCCCACGGCGATGCCCGCGCCCCGCATCCCCGAGCGGTGCGGGCCCCCCGCACCTGGTGCCGGTGCCGGTGCCGGTTCCGCCCCCGCCGCCGCTGACTCTGCACCGCTCCCGCCGCCGGAAGCGGAGGCCCCGATCGCGCCGATCTCGCGAGAGCGCCCGGTGCCCCCCCAGCCCCCACCCCGCCGCCCCGCACCGCTTCCCGCACCCCCCCCCCCCGCCCGGTACCGGGGGCGCGCGCGGGGAGCGGCGGAGGGAGGGGGGGGGAGCGGGGGGTGCGATCGAGAAAGCCGCGAGGCGTTACCGTGGCAACGGCTGCAGCGGTGAGGGGGTGTCCCCGTGTGCGGGGGTCCCCCTCCCACTGCCATCAGCCCGTTCCCGGGGGCACCGGGACCCGCACCGGGGCGGCGGAGCCGCGCCCGAAGGGGAGCTGCACCGGCGGGGCGGGCGGGATGGGAATATGGGGAGAGCGGGGTCCCGGGTCTTCCGCCCCCTCCGTGAGCACCGGGGGCGGCAGAGTCCCCACCGGGGAGGGGTCTCTGTGCTTCACGGGAGACCGGGACCCCCACATCGTCACGGGGGGACAGGCTGAGCATCCCCGCACCGTGCCGATATCGTCGGTACGGAGG